ACCACAAAACACAGTCAGTATTTTCTTTTAGAAGATTACCTTTTCATTATTTCATAAATTTAACTTATGAGTAAAAAATTAATTATGCAAGAAACATCTATACTGTTTTGCATAATTAACTTTTAACTTTCAAAATTAACTTAATTTTAACTTAATTTTTAATTAAATTAATTTTTGTGTAATTTTTAATTTAACTTTATTCATTTAAAAGTTTCGTTAATACTAAAGCTTAATTTAGAAAACATTAACTTACTGAATTCTGAATAAAAATAACGATTATATTTGTTACCATTACCTAAGAAATGTAATTATATTATCGTTATTGTTGCTAATGAAAAGAGAAAAAAACTTTACCAAAAAACTTAACTGAAAAAAATAACGGTAATGTTATTGGTAACTCGTTACTTCTCTAAATCTTATGTAATACATCTGAATCATGATGATAATAATTTGGTCCGTGTTCCTGAATGAACAATGATTAGTCTTTACAACCATATAACTGATGCATTAACGATTCTAATTTCGTGAGCATTATCTGTAATATATGAAATATAAAATTAAATATAGATTTTATTTCTTAGGGCATCAAACTTCTGCCGAGTCATGGGGTACTGGCCGTGCTGTAGCACGTATACCTCGTGTACGTGGAGGTGGTACCCATCGTTCAGGACAGGGCGCCTTCGGAAATATGTGTAGAGGTGGGCGCATGTTTGCGCCTACTAAACCATGGCGACGTTGGCACCGTCGTATCAATGTTAACCAGAAGCGTTATGCTCTTGTCTCAGCCATTGCCGCTTCTGGTGTACCTGCTCTTGTTCAATCTAAAGGTATGCATTTTACAAATAATATTTTTATACAGGATGTCCCAAACTCTCCTCTGCATATTTTGTGGGAATGTAGAATAAGTCGAGGTGAACATAAAAGTCCTATACCGTTTTGCGATATTCGCAATAATAATCGAGATATTATTAATTAAAAAAGATTGGTGAATGATCACGCGCCATATGGTAGATGAGCTGCAGTAGCGTCGTCTGCCGCTATGCTTATATATTAAGTATGCTTATATATTAAGTCAAACTGAACAAAAAAAATCCTTTACCATTTTGCAAATGATCACATAGATTTTTAGATATTAAAGAAAATTGTTACATGATTGTGTACCATAATGCACAAATTTTCTTTAATTAATATCTAAAAATCTATGTGATTATTTGTAAAATGGTAGAGGACTTTTTTTTTATTCAGTTTGACCTAATGTATAAATATACCACAGCAGATGGCGTCACTGCATCTCATCTACCATATCTCGCGTGATCATTCACCAATCTTTTTTAACTAATATCTTGAGATTTATCGGGAATATCGCAAAATGGTATGGGACTTTTTTATGTTTACCTCAATCTGTTCTACGTTCTCACAAAATATGCGGAAGAGAGTCTGAAACACCCTGTATACTTTTATCTTGAAGAAATTCTGGTCTCGTGCTCAAATAATATTTTTTAGCTTGTGTTGCTGATTTTCTGTTGATTGGTTTTCTACTAATGTGACAATTTGTAGTAATTTACATGTTTCTTGTAAACATAATATATATATTCTAATATATTACTATTTTGCACATATTACAGGGCACATGATTCAAGAGGTTCCCGAATTTCCCTTGGTTGTTTCTGATAAAATCGAGACGTATAACAAAACTAAGCAAGCTGTAATTTTCTTGAGACGTATCAAGGCATGGAATGATATTCAAAAGGTAAGTTAATATTAAGTTTATGTTATTGATGTGCACACTAATGAATACATCTCTTTTTCCCGCATTTCTTTTTCCCTCTCTTTGCTAGACACTTTAGCTTGAATGCCTGTAGTAAGTATCAAAAAGAACATTGTATTCAGGCGTTTTCGTCAAATAATTAATTTGCTATAAAAAGTGATATAAATAACTAAATAGCTTGTTCGAAGTTGAGTACGAGGTCTATCATTTAACTTCAAACTTCAATCATTCGTATTATAAAATATATATCATTTATTTTTAGGTGTATAAATCGCAAAGATTCCGCGCAGGAAAAGGAAAAATGCGTAATCGTCGACGTATTCAACGACGTGGACCATTGATTGTCTACGGAAAGGATGAAGTAAACTATATTCTTACAAAGAATTTTATAGGAATCATTACATATTGTTTACATATATAATTATAATAATATAATTTTGTTTCTAGGGAATATGTAAAGCATTTCGCAACATCCCTGGTGTCGATCTAATGAATATCAACAAAATGAACCTTTTGAAGATGGCACCTGGTGGTCATGTTGGACGTTTCGTCATCTGGACAAAATCAGCATTTGAACAATTGGATGCTGTTTACGGTACTTGGCGCAAGGAGTCACAACTCAAGAAGGGATATAATTTGCCATTTTCCAAAATGGCGAATACAGATTTATCCAGGCTTCTGAAATCTGAAGAAATTCGTAAGGTTCTAAGAGCTCCTAGGTAATTGTGTAAATGACTATTTTATACAATTTTAATTATTGTAGTCTCTCACTTTTTCTTTTTTCTTACTTTTACTTTTCTAAATATCAATTCTTCCTAATAATGTCATATTTAGTGTGTGTGCGCGTGTGTAGTATTTATAAATCTTATAATATTTATAAATTATGATTTTTTTGTGCTACTGAATAATCATGACTATATCTCATAAGCATGACTATATCTCATAACCATGACTATATCTCATAACCATGACTATATCTCATAACCATATAGCTGATCCACCATTTCAATGATCCAATTCCGATTTCGTGTTGTTATCCAAATATGTTATATTTAAGGAAAAATAATATAATTGTAGGAAGAAGGTGGTACGCAAGGTGAAGAAACTTAATCCGTTAGCCAACACTCGAGCTATGTTGCGTCTCAATCCGTATGCAGCAGTCCTGAAACGTGCTGCGATCTTAACAGCGCAAAAACGTCAGCACGAGAAGGATATTCTTTTGGCCGAGAAGAGAGGCGTAAGTTCATGTTTCTTGCTTTCACTACTTTACAAATAATTAGCTGTAAATTGTTGTAAAATATTGAGAATTTTAAACGATGGCATTACTTGATATCGTGTTTCAGATTAATCTACCGAAGAATTTATCGGCTGTGAAGACCAAAAAGCTTCAGGAAAGAAGAAAGAAACAACTCATAGCTGTCAAAGCAGCTAAACCTAAAAAGCCGAACACTGTAAAAAAAGTTGTTGCGGCAGAAGTTAAAAAAGAGAAGGATACAGCGGTAGCGAAGATTGCTGCACCAAAAGCTGCACCAAACTAAAAAGTAGATAATTGAACAATTTGTACATTACTTTGCACATGCAGAATACATGTACATACATGAAATAGCCATCCAAATATCTTATAATAAGCATCAATGAATCGTAAAAAATAAGTTTTCAAAACTTGATAGAAAAAATAATAAAAATTATAATGACTTGTTTTTTTGAATAACAACAATAATTAATTTCTAAATTGTGTAAACAGTAACAAATTTTCAATAAATAATATAGTGACAAATTATTTTTTAGAAGTAACTTTTTCAATCTTAGATAATATTTTAATCTCGTAAGATTTTGTAATCTGAGATTATATATACTATAAATTATCTACCAGCTTCTTTCGACACACAGTAAGGTTGCCGCTGTTCTTAGATACTTGCTGATGAACAAAGTTCACAACATCGGGTCGAATTGGAGCTTTAAAAATGGAGAGTAGGGTAATTGTATCATCTGATGCTTCGTTTTTATCGGTTATAAGTGGTCGTGCTGTTGATAAAGACTAAAAGAAATTTACATTATATATTAGATATGAGTATCTTTTTTATAGTTGCATCTTATGTATAAGTTATCTTGTAATCTTTTTAATTTCTTTTTTCTCTTTCATAAAATGTCAAATATATGGCTACTTATGCCCATTTTCACCATCCCGGTTATCTTAACCGGCTAGTTATTCCATTGGAACTGACCAATTGCACTTGTCGTTTAGCAAGATTAACCAATCACCGTGCACATTTAACCAGTAGTTAAGGTAACCAGAGATGGTGAAAATGGGCATTAAAGTACATACAGAGAGTGCAATTTAAGCATTCCGATATTCATTGCTATTATTGAAAATATATAGATCATTGGTCTGTTCTTTTCAGTTAACTACTGAACTGGTGCAATAAGTTAAAGTGAGTCAAGTATATTTTTTCTCACTCTAACTTATTGCACCAGTTCAGTAGTTAGCTGAAAAGAACAGACCACATGTTAGGGCCAGCGCACGAACATTGCCGTAGTTTCTTACGCCATCTTAGGCTGCGTTCAGATTCCTTACCCGGGTGCACTCTAATACAAGAAGTGCTATAGTATATGTGACATATACTATAGTGTTTCTAGTAACAGAGTGCACCCGGGTAGGGAATCTGAACGCACCCTTACGTGACAATCTTACGTTACGTGAGACGTAAGCTGAACGTACTGCAGGATTCACACTGCGTCCGATTTCCGACGTACGACATCCGATATCCAATAAGAGAACAGCTTTTTAATAGAGAATTCAATTCTCCATTGGAAAGCTGTTCTCCTATTGGATATCGGACGTCGTACGTCGGACATCGGATGCGGTGTGAATCTTCCATACGGCAACGCACGAAAATTTTACGTTACGTTACGTTACAAAAGAACATAGAGGTTATGTGACAAAGGTAATTAAATCAGATTATTGAACAATAAGTAAAGAAACAATAATAATTTATCTTTACAGTCATAATTAGAAATGTCTATATCGAGCACATATTAATTTTATTAAACTGTTAAATGTATCTGTACAAAATTATAAACATTGCGTTATAATCTCTTCCCAACACTATGTATAGAATATGGTTGACATATAAATATTGAAATAAAATTTTAGGTTCTCAAGTTAACAAATATGAAAACATCAATGTCTATGAAGTTAAAATGTTTATTGTTGTCATTATTCTTAATTTATTATATGAGACTAAAACGGAGAAAAACACACAAAAGATGGCAAAATAGAAGATGACTCGTGAGACCAATTAATCAACAGAGAAAACAGCAAGGAGAATATGAAAATCTATTTCAAGAATTAAAAACTGATGAAGACATGTTGTCAAATATATAAGGATGAATGTTTAACATTTTAATAAGTTATTAACCATGCTAAGATCTTATTTGGTAAAAAAACTAGAAAGCTCTGTCTCCGGAACACAGGTTAATAATATATTAAGGTAAATATAGTTTATTAGTAAAAATTGTTTGATGTAACTACTTTTTAAATTTTTAGTTATGTTTAGAAATCATTGTTAGAAAAAATGTTTCACGAAATTATAAACTATATAGCAAAAATTGTGATACATTTTTCAGATATCTTGCAACAGGGAATTCAAGTACCCGATGAAAAATTTTTCATGCAAAATTTTGTATGAAATTTGTCCATACATAATTATGTATAATTATATATAATCATATAAAATTATATATAATTATACACAATTATGTATAACAATATGTATAATTACATATAAATTTATGCAAAAATGTAATTATGTAAAATTATATATGAATTTATATATATAATTATACATAATTATATATATAAGTAGAATGTATGAACATGAATGGACAAATTTGATACATGATAATATATAATTATATATAATTATATATAATTTTATATAATTTTATATAATTATATATGAAAAATTTTTGATTGGATATTGCATTTTCTTTTCGAGTTGAGCAGTCAACTGTTAGACAGTTAATGAAAGAAGTTTGTCTAGTTATTGCTAATACATTACAGCCTCTATATTCCCTTATAGAAATATCATACTAAGAATCATTGATAATTACTTATTATCCAGTATTTTTAATACTGAAAATAAGTAATTATCAATGATTTTTAGTATGATATTTCTATAAGGGTCTGCGATAAAAAATCCAGGCATAGAGATATTACTTCCCGGCAGATAAGCTCCTGAAGTGGGCAAATTAAGTCCATTATTTTTAAATATTTTCCAATAGTTGACGACTCAAAAATGCCTCCGTCACTATTTTTTCCATAGGCTCCTATATCAACTAAATTAAATCTATATAAATGATCAAATATTGCCATAAGAACAATGCTGAATTGTTTCTTATAATTAAAAGATAAGCTTCCAGAATTAGCAGGACATTACAAAACTATGTTTCCGCCCTTATAGAAATATCATACTAAGAATCATTGATAATTACTTATTATCCAGTATTTTTAATACTAAAAATAAGTAATTATCAATGATTCTTAGTATGATATTTCTATAAGGGTCATTAAGCTTAATTTTCTTTGCAACGTGCTGCCGATAAAGTGTGCCGACAAAAATGTAACAGAAATATATCATCATTTGCCCTAATAATATAATTGCAAAAATATGTTATTTTCCACGCATAGCCTGATTTCTATATCAATGACGCAACAAGTGCGGTAGAAATAGAACACGATTTACTATCACGGTATAACAATAGAAATATAGAAGATATATCATACATCGTGCTACATCATGTACTAACGAGAAAAATACGGCAGAAATCGATCATGACGTGTTTTTGAACGTGAGGACAGAAACGCAGCAGAAATCGATCACGACGTGTCGCTCCCCTTATAGAAATATCATATTAAGAATCATTGATAATTACTTATTTTCACTATTAAAAATACTGGATAATAAGTAATTATCAATGATTCTTAGTATGATATTTCTATAAGGGTCGAACGTAACAACAGAAACGCAACAGAAATTGATCATGACGTGCGTCCGAAAGCAGCGGTAGATACGAGGCAGAAATGCCCTAATGGAAAAATTTTGCTGAAATTATAATGAAACTTCCTGAAAACGTAATGAAATGTGCTGAAATTTTGCTGAAAAACTCAATCAATTGATCCACGTACATTCCCAGATAGAAAAATGATGTCATGTTGCACTCAATACGCGCTCACCCTTATAGAAATATCATACTAAAAATCATTGATAATTACTTATTTTCAGTATTAAAAATACTGGATAATAAGTAATTATCAATGATTCTTAGTATGATATTTCTATAAGGGCATATATTGACGTGGATGATTGCAAAAATGCATACAAATGCGTGCGCATATGCTGCTCATATGTCGTTCATGTAATGATGATCAGAAAAATATCTCATCTAATAACATTATGATAACAAAACTTGATGAACTAGATATATTCGTATATCATTTGTTGCTTATATCATGTTAATCACATAATGATCTTTAAAAAGGTATATTAAGGTGAAATTACAGTATGACATCACATTATGATGAAACATGATCATCACGCATTTCTATCTGGGTATATTTATAAAGTTATCAAAAAACATCCACAACTATTATTAAGTCGCAAAAATAAAGTCTTTTTAAATAATCTATTAAACATTGACTTTTTCATCAAAGAAAATAATTAATAATTAACAAAATAATGGTACTGCAATGTACAAACCTTTTGTTTTGATGATAAAAATTTAATTCTTCGGATGAATTGTTATGAAATGTAGTGCGGATTTGCAATGGAACATTACTAGGTCCTACAACATAATTATTATAAGGGTAATAATTATTAATATATCTAATTTTTTATTAATTTATACTTTCTTCTCTGGATGTGCTTGTCTAACAAAGAGATGCCACAACCTGTTAAGTCGATTCCTGAACGAGACATAGCACGTTCGCTAGCTGCAATGTTAAGCATTAACATCCTAATTGGGGTTCGTGCCAATGGGCCTTTGTTTGTGAGAAATTACTGTATAAAGTTTGGGTTACGGGACTGCATTCCGGATATGGCTAAAAATGCGACTGTTTTTCAGCAACGCGGCGTGGCCGAGCAGATTGGGGCTCCCACGTCGAAAATTTTTGAGCCGGAAGCGAGCGTTCGAAACCGGCGACGAGTTATCCTTGTACGGTGTTTTTTTTTCTTACCTTAGGGCATGTAATTAATGTTTTTTGAATATGATATGATACATTTGTTTTGCATAGGTCTCGTTTTTATGCTATTAATCAGGGGTAATTAGGGAAGTGTCAGGCTTGTTTAATGCAAACACGAATATAGACACAAATTTTGCATTGCTTACAATAAAATATATATTTTAGTACATCACTTTTGCATGAAAACATTGTATACAACATTGTCATATAATAAAACATTGTTATATAATAAAACATTTTCATTTAATAAAACATTGTCGTATAATAAAACATTGTCATATAATAAAACTTATACGCTATAAACATCTTTCATTTTTTCACAATGTTGTGGATGGAATTTTGTATAAAAACAATGAAAACATAACAAATGTTTGCACTAACTGCATGCAATGAATGCATTATTTTGAATCCATCCGCAACATTGCGAAAAAATAAAAGATGTTTATAGCGTATAAGTTTTATTATATTACAATGTTTTATTATGTGACAATGTTTTATTATATGATAATGTTTTATTATATGACAACGTTTTATTATATGACAATGCTTTATTAAATGAAAATGTTTTATTATATGACAATGTTTTATTATATGACAATATTTTCATACAAAAGTGATGTACTAAAATATATATTTTATTGTAAGCAATGCAAAATATGTGTCCATATTCGTGTTTGCGTTAAACAAGCCTGACACTTCCCTAAGTACCCCTGATCAATAACATAAAAACGAAACATATGCAAAACAAATGTATCATATTCGAAAAGCATTAATTACATGCCCTAATGTAAGAAAAAAAAAATCATCACACAAGGATAACTTTCGTCGCCTGGTTTCGAACGCTCGCTTCTGGCTCAAAAATTCTCGACGTGGAAGCTTCAGTCTGCTCGGCCGCGCCGCCTGTCTGAAACAGTCATATTTTTAGCCATATCCGTAATACAGTCCCACAACCCAAACTTTATATTGTAATTTCTCATAAATAAAGACTTATTGGCACATCCTCAATTAGTATGTTGATGCTTAACATCGCAGCTAGCGAAGGTGCTATGTCTCGTTCAGAAATCGATTTAGCAGATTGTGGCATCTCTTTGTAAGAATTTCAAGCTTTTGAATAATGGCCACTGTTTATTTTGTTGCATGCCATTGCCACTGCGTGTTGCATTTTCGTTCAATCTTCTTTCTTTGGTATATCTATCCTTCAGTCTTTTCCACCGCTGTTGTACTTCATCAACTGAAAAAATTTATTATTTTCAAATTATTTTAAGGTTAGGATTATATTTCTACATACAATATATGCAAAAACACTTCAATAATATATTTGAAACGTTTTTGCAATTTCTTCCCACGATTTTTCCTACAAATGATCTTTGTAATTTTTATCATTCCCAGATAGAAATGCGTGATGATCATGTTTTATCATAATGTGATGTCAATATGTGATTTCACCTTAATACCTTTCCCAGTAAGCAATCTGCGTGCAGACTGACGTCAGACTGTCGACAGGATCTGTCGAATCCGAGCAGGATCTGTCGACAGATCCATAGACATCTGCGTCCCCAATCTGCCGCCAGACTGTTGACAGGGTCTGCGAACAGACTCTGACGACAGACTGGCGGCAGATTGCGCGTAGAGCCTGTCGATAGACTATGACGGCAGATTGGCTGCAGATTGCGCGCAGATCCTGTCGTTTCGTAGGTTCTTCAATTAAATTTTCTCATAATTTTTCATAATTACTCATAGAATAAGCGCTTTCTCATAAATACTCATAAAATACTATGACAAAAAAATTTTTCTACATTATTTTTTCATAATTTTTAATATTTTCTCTGAGATTCGAACTTGAACTGAAGACATCTTTTGGATAATCGTCCGTCGCCTTAGACACTACGCCAATTCCTCACTTGATAAAAAGCGCTTTG